CGCAGGTCCGACGCAATAGCGTACATCACGTGCATCTGCGAATTGACAGCGCAGTTGTCCATGTAGAAGACGCTGGACAGGTTCGCGCCAAGACCGCGCTCCACGAGGATCGCAGCGCACAAACCCCCGCCACACACCAGCGTAGACCGCGTCATGACAAACCGCGTCGACAGAAGCCGGACGCCGTCCAGCACAAGCACGGGGCCGTACCGAAATCTGGCATGGCCAGGGGTCGTCGCCACGTACTGCGACCCGCCAACCGTCGCGCGCAGCGTTGAGTTCGCCAGCAGCACACTCGAGTGCAGCGGCATCGCGCCGTGTAGCACGATCGTGCCCTCCAGCGACGTCACGTTCGTCATGTTGACGAGGGCGTGGGGCATCGGGCGCGCCGTGCTCTCGCTGAGGCCGCCAATCCGCAGCTGCGCACCGCCCTCAAGCACGCAGTGGCGCAGCGTCACGTTCAGCGCGTTATCGAACGCGTCCATCGAGCGCAGGTCCACCGCCACAGTGATTGGGCCGCTGAACACCACCGAGTCGAAGCACGCCGTCGCACGCCCACCGCCAACCGTCACGGACTCCGTCAGCGTCACGCCACTCACGCAGCCCTGCGCACCGCCACCACCGCCGCCGGCCCTCGCAGGCGGCACGTCGAACGGCAGGCACGCCTCGCCCACACCGCCGGCGCGGCAGCCGCACACGCAGTCGTTGAACGACGCCGTCAGCGCATCAAAGCACGCCAGCGCTGCCGCACAGCCGTCACACGGCACCACGCTCACGGAGGGCAGGCCGGCCAAGCGGTAGTCGCCGCTGCTCTGCAACACCCGGCCGCCGGCACGGTTGCACTGCACCGACACGACGCCGCTCGTGATCGCCAGCCCGGAGACAAGCGTCGCGCCAGCGGCAGTGCAGCGCGCAATCGACACGGTGCCGCCGCTCAGCGTCACCCCAGACAGCGACGCCACCGACGACGCCTCGCCCACCGCCCACACGCCGTGCAGGTCCAGCCACCCGCCGACACCGACCGTCCCACCGTCGCAGCGCACCAGCGACGACGCAACAGACCCCTCGACGCCCACGAAGCGCAGCACCGAATCAAGCACCGCGAGGCGCTCGCCAAGCACAAGGCCGCCGCCGCTGCTCACAACCGACACGTTCGTCACGGAGAACACCGAGTGGCTCCGCAGACTGAGACGCGACGAGGACGCCACATGCAACGCGGAAGCGGTCGGACCGCCCGACGCCTCCAGCAACACGCCGTCAAACAACACCGCGCTCGACAGCAGGTCCACGTCGCCGCCAACGTACACCGCCGTCCCGCCCGCCTGCAACGACCTCAGCACAGTGTTGCTCACACGCAGCTGCGACTGCAACAGCGACGTCGCGTGCAGCACAAGCGGCGACGCCACCGCGTCCGTCAGCCCGCTCAGCTGCGAGTAGCGCATCGGCCCCGCCGTCACAATCGTCGAGTCACGGACCGTCACGTTTGTGTGTTCCGGCAGGTTGTACACAAACACAAGCGAGCAGTAGCCGCCGAACAGCCCGCTCACGCTCACCTCCAGGCTCCGGTCACTCGCCGGCTCGCCGCTGTAGCCCCGCACGTAGATCTGCGCACCGCCGTCGCAAACGCAGTTCCTCAGTTCGATGCGCAGCGCGCCGGGAAGCATCGCCGCCACGTCGAACACAACAGCCACGCCGTTCGTGATGTACACGCCGTCCATCAGCACCGTGTCCACGGCGCAGCCAACCGTGATGGCTCTGTCCACCGTGCCGCCCCGCAGTCGCAGCACCACCGCATGCACTGCGGGCATCCACGCCGCCGCCGCAACCAGCGCCAACACAACAAGCAGCACCACACGCACAGCCGCAATGGCCCTGCGCCGCACACGGTGCCGGCTGCGCGGACACGCGCCCACCGCAAACCGCATCCACAAACCCAGACACGTATCAACAGAGCCGTCGTGGTGTGTCGCACTCGCCCCGTCGACCATAATTCCAGCTTTCAAAATCCCTTCCTACAGATGGCAAATCCAGTGACACGATTCCGCCAGATTGTTATCCCACTACTGCTACTAATCCTACTAAAGCAAGTAATCCCTAACACCTTGAAACGATAGTTGTGCTGGCCAAGCAAAAGTATCTCTAACTACTTCGTCAAAAAAGAATAAAAGGCAGCAACAACAGTAACCAAACACAGTGGCACGCAAAGGCATCCGGTCATACACCATCCCCATCACAGTACAACCGCCGACACAAAGCCGCGCAGACGCAATCAAGTCAGTGACACCATAGCCATCCCACACCCCACACAGCCACCGTGCCGAGTGACGGAATCCCGGCAAAAAGCCACATGACCGCTGGCACTGCTCCTGTTACCGAATGGCTGCATCACAGGGCGGTCCCGATGCCGTGCACGACACACAGGAGCCGAGGCAGACCACGTGGCAGCGTTACGACCGCCGGCCATCAAGCGCGTCCGAAAGGTGTTGGTGTTGGTGGCGCGTAAGTGGAGTGGAGAGCTCGCCGGTCGCCAGCAGCAAAAGCGTCTTTTCTTGTTCACGCGAGTCGGCATTGCACAGCAGGCAGCGGCACCATGCGCGCACGGCATACACAACAAAGGAAAAATAAAGAAGCACGGCGGCAGCAATCAAGCACGGAAAAAAGGGTCCACACTAATTGCACATTCCGATTGGCTCACAGACATCCGGATGGTGGTCGCGCCGCTGCTCTACGGTGCGTGTGGCGTGTGACTGCAGCGGACAGAGGGGATGATGAGAAGGGTGGGAGACGCAGCGCGGCCCTCATCCATCTCGGTTAACTGTGACGCCGGTGACGTCATCCCGTCACATCGCCTGCAGCAAAGACCGTCGCCGTCAGCAGCGGTCGGTGCCTTCCCTCTCCCACTGGGGCGCAACTCCACCGACGCAGTCGCTCGTCTCCTCCCCACCAGCACAACGAGGGAGCAACGGCAAAAGATGAGACACGCACGGCAAGCGCGCAGTCGCAGAATCCCACTGCTGCCGCCATGGCCAAACAGGGTCGGCTGCAGGGCGCAAAAAGAAGGGTAAACACCCCATCAAACGCTTTGGCACCACGTGGAAGCACCGCAACCGAAACACAAGGCGAAGCGCCGTGAAGCAGGCACCAAAACCAAAGCTCCTCCAACAAATTCATCGTGGAGCAAAATAAAATATTATGCGAGCGCAGAAAAAATTCACACAAACTGAAAAACAACAATGACGGTGCAGAGGTAATAAATGGTCGTGGTGCGCAGCAGCCGTGGCATCGCGCCCCTCCCTCATCAAACGGCACCGCACCACAACGCAGCGTGACGACAGCCTGCAATGACGACGACTGAGTAGCACGCACAAAGCGGCATAAACCTTTCATCCCGCACTCGCGCAAATTTACGCTCTCAGTATGTACTGCCAACGACACGGGGAAGGACACGGAAGGGGACTGTTCTCTCCATCCTCCTTCTGCTCACAACAGACCCTCCCCATCCTCCTCCTCGCTACGCTCTGGCTGCCGCGAAACGCCGTCAAGCAAATCCACGTGTATGGAAGCCCTCAATGCGCGGGGCAAGCCAGGCAGCCACCCACGCTCACTCTCCCGCTCACATTTCCCCTCCCACAACTTTCCCACACACAAAAGGGCAAAGACATGGAAAAGAAAAGCCCGCAGCACAACGCATGCAGAGGCAACGCCATACACGCCGCACCGCAAAAAAAAAAAAAAAAGCGGCCGCAACAAGAGCGACGGGTCGAATTCAAATTCACGGCGCTGCGCTTTACTTCTCTCTTCCCCGATGGATTGGCGTCTCACACTCACAGTGAGGCACGGTGCACACCATCCGCTCCCTCCGTGTGCACTCAGAAGTCCGGCGCACAGTCACCCTCGTGCCATCGCAATGGGGAGCACAAACAACCGTCGTCGCGGACCATCGATGCCTCTAGCAAAAACAATAAGAAAAAGAAATGAGGGCATGTCAACAGCACAGCCAGCAGAGGGACACTCAACGGGACGCGGAGACACTCAGCGACAGTGAAGACAGCACAAACAAAGAAATGAACCGCAGTGAATCAACAAAACAAAAGAAAAAAAGGTGAGAGTCCAGAAGAACTCCCAAACAACATAAAAAAGTAAAATCCATGATTCGGAAAGACGTTTATTTCAGGTGCCAAGCAGCACAATACGACCGTGTGTTTGTGTATACATATTGCCCTCAACAATAAAAAGAGGTCAATAAAGGACTTTACTGTTCCACCAGCCCACACAACATTCTCCACATTTCACGCGGCATCCGGCCTGTTCTTCCAATCATCTTTTCGTGCAGTCCATGGGACGCACAGTCGCAGGGCCGGCACCGAATGTAGGCAAAAACAAACAAGAGGAAAAGAAATGTGTGCTCCGCCCCACAGGCCCTCGTCGCACGCCCACACGTCACGGCTCCCTCAGCGCGCCGTTCGTCGCGGCCCCTCCTCATGCGTGCAGCAGGCGAGGCGCACAGGGCCGTCGTCATGAGCGTGTCGGTGGGTGTGCGAGTGGAGCAGTTGGGCGGGAAACACACGGCACCCCTCACAGGAAGAGTGCAGCCAGAAACAATTAAAGAGGGAAGAGTAGAAAAGAAAAAAGAACGTCCATAGTGATTGCCCCCAATAGCAAAAAGGAAAAGAGGACTGGGGAGTGAGAGACAAAAAAAAAAAAATGAAATAAAAGAATAAAAAAACAATAAAATATTTAAAAGCAAACAAGCAAAAAGAATTTTAAAAGAGTTACGGTGCTCCGCCCATGCAGCCAGGCAGGACGGCAGCGGTGCGTGTCGTGCAAAAGAGAGCACCAACGGGCCTGCATGGGTGTGCATGCATATATACAATGGGCACATTATGTGTGTGCTTCGTGGGATGAGGTGAGGGCGAGAGTCCATGCAAGGGGACACACACAGAGAGTGAGAGAAGGACGAGTGTGTGTGCGGGCGGTGCACGGCTCTCTCTCCCCCACTCTCACGCGGCCACCACCGCAGCAGCAGCCGCACACGAAACAACAAGAAGAAGCAAAAGAGGGGAGGTGGTGTGCGAGACCGCGGTGCTGCCGTCACTGTCGCCAGTTGGCGCCGTATCTTTTTTTTCAGTGCTGTTGACTGCTTCTGGTGCTGCTTCACTGGCTGTAGGACCGACGTTGGTATTATCAGCTTCGAGTTCGTCGTGGGTTCTTTTGGGATCATGCCGTTCAGGATCGTCACCATTCTCATTTACTGTTCCCTGAGCATCACCATTGCCATATGTAGGGATGGATGAGGCTGCTGTATATGCTGGATGGCCGGTATTTGCACTCTTTACCAAATCTGCTTTGTCTCTCTCTTGACTGTGTTGCTCTGCCGCATCATCCTTCGAAGACGTTTTAGTTGCTTCAGAGTCCGTTTCGGTTCCTGACGCTGCCGTATTGTCATTTTTCCCTGTTGGATTCTTTGAGTCTTTCGGTGTTGCTGTTATTGTTGGAGTTTCTCCCGTTGATGGTACTGACGGTGTTGTTTTTCCTGTGGGTTTGCTATTGGCGGTCGACACGCTGGAGGAGTCTTTGCTATTTACGTCATTCTCCCCTGCGTCGCCTCCACTTGCACCCTTACCACGAGCTTCAACACTTATTTCTCCTTGTGTATTAGGAGTGTTTTTATTTTGGTCGGTGTCTAACGCCTCCGGAGTCTGCACCGTGGGCAGTGCGGGCACATTAAGCGTTTTTTTTGACGGTTCATCTGTTCCTGAAGAATTATTCTTCTGAGTGACTGAACTATCGCCGGTGTTCTTCAAACCATCACCAGCACTGGGAATAGGGGACGAGGATTTATCATCGGGAACAGGAACCTTCAAAGTGGAATCCTCACCTCCGTTAGAAATTCCACTTGAGCCACCACCGCCACCACCGCCACCACCAGTTTGACTGTCAGCACCAAGTTCACTGCGACCAATACCATCAGAATCACTGGCATCAGGAGGTGGTGGTGGGGCTCCCGGTGTTTCTGGCGCTGGTGGCAGTGCCGGAGGTTGTGGAATTGAATCTAACTTCAAATTATCCCTTTCCTCAGAAATATCTTTTACGTCCTTCGCTTCGGCTTGTATCGCATTAATGAAGAACGCTGATCGCAATGGCCGCGTGAGCACAGTTTTATTGCAACCCCTCACCAAATACGACGTTTTCGCACCCAACCCGCCTGACGCCATGCAGCCACCCTGTGCGTTGTTGGGAGTATCCCTCGCATAAACACCGCCGGCACCGCACCACAGCACGCAGAGGGCACACACCAGCAGCACACGGCCAGTCATCATCATCGCCATCATCACTCCTGTCACTTGCGTGTAGCCTTCAGCACAAACTAACAACACGTCAATAGAGAGAAAAAGCAAAGGGTAAGAGACAATTCACTCAACCACGCAACAATCACCGCAAAGTAACAACTGGCAGCACCCAAGCAGCAGCAGCCCACACACTACTAGGCACGTGAAATCACTACGATTCCAGAACCTGCGCACCGAACTAAAAACCAGAAGTTAAAAGAAAAGAAATGCCACAGCCAAGATTCCGCTGAGCATGCATGTGAGTGTGTCTGGGATGCGTTCAACGTGGCGGATGTGGGAAGCGACACGGAGCACACAGCAGGGCAGCGGCAGCAAACAAAGCAAAAAACGATCATCATAATTACTCTTACTTTATACATCGGACCACAGTAGACGTACACATGTCCCCGTGGCTGAGTGCTGGCACGCACAGCCCACGCTCCCTTTTAGCCCAGAGTGGTGTACGCCAGCGCGGATGCGGCGAGCAGCAGCGGGGCACACACCCACGCAGAGCTGCTGAGGCTGCCGTCGACTTCGCGAAGACGTGACGGTGCGCGGGTGGTCGTCGTGATTGGCGCCTCCGTATATTGGCACTTTTTTTTTTCTGACGTCGATGTCTGTGACGTATATTCTCAGCACCTTGGG